TGTGTGTGTGTGTGTGTGTGTGTGTGTGTGTGTGTGTGTGTGTGTGTGTGTGTGTGTGTGAGGCAAACCTCAAGGGTTCGGAGCAGCGAGCTCATTAAAGGCTTTATTCCACTTCCAGGATCGTGCAGGATTGCAATATGGACATTGTTTATACACAAATGTTGCCCAGGGAATAATGTTTATTTCTATTACCATCTTGGAGGAGAGGGGTGGAGGGCGGGGAGTGGGCTGGGGTGGATTTAGGAGGAGGGGTGCAGAGCTTGTCTGCACACATTGCTTTTCATGAAATACTGCCTCTCCAGGAGTGCTTTGAAGAAACGGCCGTTTTTCAAACCACTTTCTTTCTCAGCCCAGAGTCATACATCAGCCCTCTCACTCTCTGTCCTGCTGCGGGAATCAGATCAGGGCCTGCAATGAGCCTCATACGGGTTTGAAAAAAAAAAAAATATATATATATATATATATATACATTCCTGTCTCATTAGCATATCAGATAGAACTGTCAGTGAGCGCTGGAGTCCAGGCAGGGGAAGGCTGGGAGTTTTACCTCGGCTGAGCGCTTCACATAAGTGTCATTTTAAGCGGCAGGGCCCACCGGCACATCTGGGAGGCAGCGGATGACGCAGCGCAGTGTTGCTACACACCCCGAGCCGTGTTTGGAAACACCGAGGCAGCTTGCTGCTACAGCGGGGGCCAGCGGGAACAACTGAACCGTGCACTCTTTAGCCCAGCCGAGCGCAGGATGAGAGGGGGGGAAGGGGGGGGGCAGAGATCCAGGAAATGCCTGAGCGAGAAGCGGTGCCCATCAGCTCGTACACACTGCCTCATCCGGGGGGGGGGGGGCATTGATCACCCCCCTCCCTCACCCCTGCTTGATATATTCACCCTGCTGTAATAGCATCGCCGTTAGGAGAGGCTCTGGTTATTTATGAAATATTGAAATAACAAATGGCATCTATGTGCTGATATTAAGAAAAGAGATGTCACAAATAAGCCAGAGGGGGGGCTGCAGCCACGTCCCCCCACCCCCACCCTGCACCCCCAGTAGGCTGCTTGCCCAGTCGCCTGGCTGCAGAAAACCTGCCGTCATCACAAACTGGAACTATTTACTGCTCACACTCTTGCATAAGGCAGGATGGAGTGTTGGAGAGGGCAGCTGAAAAATGACTCTGTTTGGGTTTCAGGGTAGGGAGGGTGAGGGGGGGGGTTGCTAATCAGATTCCTCCAGCTTCAGAGTCATCTGAGGACAACTCCTCAGCTAAAGGTATTTAGTTGGTTTCCAAAGCCTAAAATGGGAGCAGAGTGGAGCGCAGGCTGTGATTAGTTTCAAATCAAACGCTCCAGTTTGAAGGAAACAGGAGAAAATGTGGTTTTAGTTTTCTGGCTGAGGGTTTTAAAGACCAGCTGGGGGAAGGTGTTTGGAGTCCTCATCAGGTTTGTTGTGTAATCATGTGTTTGTGTCCACAGAACACCCTGGAGACCTGCAACGTCTGCAGCAAACCCATCATGGAGCGCATCCTGCGGGCGACAGGAAAGGCCTACCACCCTCACTGCTTCACCTGCGTGGTGTGTCGCCGCAGCCTGGACGGGATCCCCTTCACCGTGGACGCCTCCAACCACATCCACTGCATTGAGGATTTCCATAAGTATGGAGCTAAACMAGTCACTCTGACACTTTACATTTTTACAGCACATACATGAATATAGCTTGATTCTTCAGCTCGCACCTTTGATTCACCTCCAAAATGTTTCTATTGTTTCCTGCGAGGTCATAAATGTCAAATAAAATGTCACCAAGACAGATTTTATTTATCTCACTCAATCCTCGATAAAAATGTCRACTAACGCTTTATTGTTATTTAGCTCCCTGTTCTTACATTTGGATATTTTTTATTAAATATTAAATGARATGTATAAATATTAAATCTGAGTGTGTAAATCTAAATGTAAAAGTAAAATCTTAAATTCTGCAGATAACTGATAACGTTTACATTTAAGAATTTCAGAAGYGGGCGCAGCCTTTGCTGTTGGTGCACAGCTTTTGTTGTGACATCATCAACCTGCGACTAAAGCTACCGCTAACGCTGCTAAAGATGGTATTTAAAATCTAAATTCACAATGTGTTCATTGAAAACAATATGGATGGTACCTGTGGTCRGGCAGTTTGAAGTGCAGCTCAGAGACCGACCACAAATACAAGTTTGATGTCTTGTAGGGAAGCATTAGCAGCATTAGCAATGTTAGCAGTGTTAGCTGTGTTATCAGCATTAGCAGTGTTAGCAGAGTTAGCAGCTTTAGCAGCATTAGCAGTGTTAGCAGTTTTAGCAGGGTTAGCGGTTGCTTTTTTTCATGAGGTCATCACAAGCCGAGCACCAACAGCAAAGTTTTTGTTCATTTCTGAAATGCGTAAATATAAACGTTATCATTTAGCCACAAGTTAAGATTTAACTTTAACATTTAGATTTACACATTTAGACATAAAAGTTATCAGAATATAAGAACAGTAAGCTTATTAAAAGTAAAATGTAAGGGGAGATTTTTAACTAGGATTTTACTCTTAGAAAGTAAGCTAAATAATGAAAATGTGACATTTTTTAAATTTTGTTGTTTACACTTGGCACCCCCGATAGTTTCCAGCTTCAGTCCCAGTTTAACCCAGATGCTCTTCTCTTTTAACTCCCAGAATTTGAGACATTTTGTAATTTGTAGACTCACTATGTGGTAAAGAAATCCTCTTCTTCAGCCCCTGAGTTTAAATTTCTCTTCAGCCAATCAGCAGTTTGCTGACTCACCTTACTGCTGAGGCTGACTGATTGTTTTCTTTAACAAACCAGAGGACACTTTGTGCTGGCAGAGCTGAAACTGATTTATGCTGGAGGTTCTTCAACTGGACCTGAACTTAACCCTTGTTTTAAAAACTGAAGTTTCTACATCTACTACAACTACATTTCTCATTTCTAAAACAGATTCAATCAAACTTATATCATTTTCAGTTAATTTACTTTGATTTGTCAGAAGTGAAAACATCCTCTTGTGGGCTGTAAATAAGATAAAAACTCGAGCTGTATTCTACACTGCTGGTATTTTCTGTGAATAAAACAAGTGGGTTTTATTTTTTCAGGAACTTGAACTAAGCATTAATTGTTCATTTAGAGTGAGGCTRTGCTGTGAAGTGAGGGATTTTAAAGCTGAGTTCCTTTCTGCAGGAGAACATTACCAGCGTTTGTCTTCTAGACTTGTTGTCTGCTGTGTGTGCACCGTGTCGTCAGGCTGTTGCACATCTGTGCACTCGTCTTTGCGAATGAACTATTATTGATCAAATACATATTTTTCATGAACTTTAAGGAGTCTGCGACATGCATATTCTACAAATACAAACAGTGGAAGAAAATGTCCTGATATTTAACGAATTTGACATAATTCATGATTTGATCCATTTTGTTACATTGATTATTTTCTGTTGGACGTGATGACAAAGGAGAACTTCCTGGTCTTTGTTTATTGAAACAATGTTTATTGATCTGTACTGTTCATCTCTCTTGTGACTCGAAATAATCCAATGAACATCAGATTCTTCTGTCCTGTCTGTATCGTCAGTCGTTATAGAAACTCTCTGTTAACGAGCAGGCCTTTGACATCACTTCCTGTTACTGCACAGTCAAATATTTTAACAACTGTTCATCTCAGTGTGATTTTAAAAATAATCTTAGCTCCACTAATGATAAACTACTAAACAGAAAAAAAAATTAGTTGAAGCTAACGCTAACCGCTAAAACGACTCTCAGTCACGTCTCAATCTCCTTCTAGATGAAGACAGGTGAACTGACACAAACCTTTTGTTAGTTTTCTGTTGGTTTAATTTAAAGGTGGGRGGGATCATCTGTTGCAAATCAGCCAATCCAGACCAGAGTTACAGCTCTATTTTATGATACTTCCAGTTTATCCCTTTCAGAATAAAAAGTGTTTCTAGATCAAGTTWGTATTTTTATAAATACTGGAAAGGTTATTCAAACGACAAGTAGTAAATTATTTTTCTACCATATTTTATAGGTAATCCGTTTTTCTATTCGTTATTTAAATATTGTTAAATATTATTTTATTAATTAGTGATGCTTTCAGTTTGAATTTAGCTGCTAAAGATGCTACATGCTACAGTGCCTGACGCCACCAAAACTGCTTGTCAGGGGGGATGGTTTTTATTTAATTTGGGGTAAATGACATAAATATAGAAGGTTTACACTTGTGAATTTTTTAATGGATTTAAAATTAGTGGACCCTAGTTTAATGGAATCTAATCAATCCACTAACAGTTTCCAAAGTGAGCAAAAAAGCTTCTCTGCTAAATGGTGAGTTCCACTGTTAGCAGGTTAGGGAACTGTGAGCAGTAAATATTTACACATTTGAGTGACCTCAGTTTAGTTAGAGTTTAAATCTGACACAAGTGACAGGCTAAATGTTGGTTTAAATGCAACCATTATGTTTTTAAATGCTTTATGGCACAAAGTAAAATCAGTTCAAAGCTGCTTTAGTTCTAGTAAAGTATAAACTCACACAACACTGAGCCCTTCTTCATATTTCTGACTGACTTTCACAAGGATTCTCAAACTGATGTAAAACAGCTGCTCTCACTTTAACCCAAACAAACTGGTTGTTTTTTCTTACTTCCAGCTCCAGATAAAGCTGTTCTCTGATGTATTACAATCACTTTTTTTATTTACAAATCTCAAAGAATGACACAATTAACTCATATACCAAACAAATCAGAAAGTCCAAAGTTGAACTAAAACTATGTCTTTGTGGAGAGAGCAGGGCGGGGTCATCTGCAGCTCACAGCCTTATTTGCTCAGACTGCAGGCTTGGATTGTTCAAATACTAATCAAACACACACGTTGGTGTCTCTGTCCTTGTGGGTAGTCTTGTTTAAAGTACCTCCAAGTGATACTTGAGTAAAAGTTCAAGTATTTTACCATAAAATTTCTTTGATCAAAGTCTCCTCTAAGACTATTAAGCTACTTAAAGTGATGTTTTTTGTACTTAAGTATTAAAAGTAAAAGTGAGCGGTTAGAATTTCCAAAAAGACATTTATTCTAAAGGCCGTAATGACTATAATGTTATATTAAAATGTTAATGTTGACAAACTTCAGATGTTAGTCTACCTATCTGGATGGTAAAACATATCTGAATGGTTTTTTTTTTTTTTAACAATAACAAGCCAAAACGACTTTCTACTTCTTACAATTTCTTTTAYATGTAAGGCCTAGAAGTGACAAGGTGGCAAAAAATTTTACTTAAGTAAAGTATCCACTTAATTTTTCACAGAGATTCACACACAGGTAATTATCGGGGATGGGGGAAGGGGTTCTGTTTTTTGCTAATTAACCTTTCACCGTATTTTCTATTTTTAATATATTACAGTCCTTGATGTCACAGTTATATAGAAAATATGGACAGATTAGTGACAACTATAAACTGTCCATATTTTAATATTCTTAAAGACTCATTTCAACGTTAACAATATTCGTTATGTTAGTTCAATCCCAAAAATTTATCACTGCTTTCTACATTAGATTGATATAATAGGCAGCAGTCTAATCACTATGGGGGCAACAGTTAGTGTGTTATGTTTTGGCACTGAACAGACTATTTATTAGCCTACCTGCTGACTGCAGGACTTCCCCTGACCTGCAACACAGGAGCACCTGGCCATCTGTAGTGCTGATGTAATGAGGATCCATGCAGAGAGAACAGACTTCATGAATCATCAATATTGTTGRTCCAGACATTAAAATTATGCTAAATATTAAACAAAAATTGTTTTCTACTAATCTCATGAACGACTTGAGACCAGTCTGTGATCTACAGGTGGATCACTGTGGCCTTAATGGGCAGTCCTTATTTAAACTTTTACACATGTTTTGTAGTACTTGGTTATTTCATCAGAAATATGATAACAAGCTGCACCTTTTTGTGAAAATCTTTGACAGAACCTCYCTTCAACGTGGACGTCACCTGCACACATTCTGCTCCACTTAACTCTGACATTTCTTTTGTTTCTCCAAATCAGTCAGAAGGAAGAATATACTAAACATGACCCCTAAGGTGGCTGGTCACCTTATCCTTTATTACATCTCCACATATAATATAAACTGTTATCTGGATTTTCAATCCAACAATGAAATTTAACACTTCTAACTCACTTTTCTTCATTTTAAGTGCTCAGTTTTRTTGTGGAAGAATCCCAGATAAATGTGAACAAAATGATCAAAGGTACTGTTCTGTGCACTGTTGCAGGTAAAAAGTCCCTTCATTAAAAAAAGACGGTAAACAGGACTCTGACCAGCAAACAGATGCTCATAACGCGTCAGAGAGATGTTTATGGCGTATTTTCCCAATCAGTGGACATAAAAGGAAGACGTTGTTTTGGTGTTACCAACTCTCTGCTCTCGTTCTATAAACTCAGCAGTAGGTTTGCTAATACAGGATGTTGGGCTTCCCTTTTGGGAATTATCAGCAACAGTTGCCTAAGACGTGATCTTGAGACGTGGACATAAATTTAATGGCACATTCCTGTCAGTGCACCACACTCGGCCGATTGCATAACCGCCACATTACCAGAAATGTTCCTCAGCTCAGTGACCAGAAGGGAAACAGAAGAAAACCGCTGGTTCACCGTGTGTGCGTGTGCGTGTGNGGCTCTGAGGGACGGATGATGGTGGGTCTGTTGGGTGCAGCCGGGGGTCTTCTGATGCAGGAAGACAGAGGAGAGAGTCTTGGCCTGGTGGGACGTGTGTGTGTGTGTGTGTGTGTGTGTGTGTGTGTGTGTGTGTGTGTGTGTGTTGCCGCTCTGTTGCTGTTGTCTAACTCCACATGTCACGTGTGACCTCAGCAGCGCAATCCTTTATTTCGAGGAATAGCGCTGCGGAGCTGAAACTGTGCCGCCCGTGGTTTCCCCGGAGCCACGCAGACCCGTCACTTCCTGATTCACAGAGTCTGAATGAAAGTCTGGAGCAGAGGAAGTCCTGGCCTTAGCTCCGGTCACCTCACAGGAACCTGAAGCCTCAGCGTGTTTTTCAGATCCTCATCAGGTCTATTGTTAGAGTGGCCTCTTCTGCTTGAGGATATTCCAGTTTCTGCTTCAGTAAACGTTACTGAGAGATTAATTTAGCTGCAGTAACTACCTAACTATATTTATAATATATATTATATTTATATTTAGGAAGGATTTTTAAAACTTAAGAAAATACACTGTTCCTTTTTATTTGTGGAATTGTTAGAGGATGTTTTGGAATAAATCAAGTTAATTTTGTCGTTCTTCATGTAACACTTGAATAAAACTGTAGTTTTCTGTTCAACATGAGGTTCTGGTTTCTGCACAGATCCTGGTCATGTTCAGAGGGATTCTGAGCCACAGGCTTGAACTAGGGTTGAGGGATATTAGCAAAAAAAAAGATTCACAGTTATTTATAGCATTTAGCCGATACTGATTAATATGATCATTAATAGATGGCACTTGCATGTTTTTGACTCTTATCAGTTACCCTGTGTTCTAAAATTATACCAACAAATCATCAGTCAAACTAACTTCTTCCTTTTAATAGCTACACTCCACATGATCTCAAACATACTGATGACATGGAGGTACATARGTATAACAGCTAGAGTGAGTCTAAACCACATGGTGGCGCTAAGCAAGAGTCTGGATTTACCATGACAGCACAAAAGACTGATGATGTAGAAATCAAAGACTATTAGTATTAACAAAATTATGAATATTTTAGAGTGTATATAATCTATCTAATGTATATAAAAGTGTCAGAAAGCTGTGAGTTATATATTTACCAATAGAAGAGAAACAGGAAAACATCTCATTTCACAAGTCAACAGATTTGATCTTATTTACCTCGATGTGGATATGATCTGAGCAGAACTGAAGGTAATAATGTAACAGTTACATTAAAATACGCTTATAAAGTCAATATAATCGCTGTTATTTATTGAATTGTCCGTCCATCTGTCCGTTTTCTGCCGTTTATCCGGGGTCGAGTTGCGGGTGCAGTAGCCTAAGCAGAGAGACCCAGACTTCCCTCTCTCCACCCTCTTAGACCAGCTCCTCTGGGGGAATCCCAAGGCGTTCCCATGCCAGCCGAGAAACATTCTTCCTCCAGCGTGTCCTGGGTCTTCCTCTGGGTCTCCTRCCAGTGGGACGTGCCCGGAACACCTCACCAGGGAGGCGTCCAGGAGGCATCCTAACCAGATGCCCGAGCCACCTCAACTGGCTCCTCTTGACGTGGAGGAGCAGRGGCTCTACTCTGAGTCCCTCCCGGATGACTGAGRTTCTCACCCTATCTCTAAGGGAGAGCCCAGKCACCCTGCYGAGGAAATTCATTTCGGCCGCTTGTATCTGTGATCTCGTTCTTTCGGGCACTACCCAAAGCTTGTGACCATAGATGAGGGTAGGATCGTAGACCGACTGGTAAACCGAGAGCTTCTCCTTCTGGCTCAGCTCTCTCTTCACCACGACAGACCGGTACAACACCCGCATCACTGCAGATGCAGAACAAGAATGCAGCACCAATCCGCCTGTCGATCTCCTGCTTCATTCTTCCCTCATTCGTGAACAAGACCCCCGAGATATTTAAACTCCTCCACTTGGGGCAGGACCTGCTCCCCAACCCAGAGAAGGCACCCTACCCTTTTCTGGCTCAAGACCATGGTCTCTGGTTTGGAGGCACTGATCCTCATCCCGGCCGCTTCACACTCGGCTGCTAACCACTCCAGTGAGAGCTGGAGAACACGATCTGATGAAGCCAATAGGACCACATCATCCGCAAAAAGCAGAGATGTGATCCTAAGGTCACCAAAACGGATCCCTTCAACACCTTGGCTGTGCCTAGAAATTCTGTCCATAAAAGTTATGAKCASAATCGGTGACAAAGGGCAACCTTGGCGGAGTCCAACTCTCACCAGAAACGAGTCCGACTTACTACCAGCAATGAGGACCAAGKTCTGGCACTGGTCATACAGGGACCTAACAGCCCATATCAATGGGCCTGGTACCCCATACTTCCAGAGTACCACCCACAGGAGTCCCAGAGGGGCACAGTCGAACACCTTCTCCAAGTCCACAAAACACATGTAGACTGGTTGGACGAACTCCCATGCACCCTCCAGGACCCTGCTGAGGGTGTAGAGCTGGTCCACTGTCCACGACCAGGACGAAAACCACACTGCTCTTCCTGAATCTGAGATTCGAACATCCAACGGACCATCCTCTCCAGAACCCCCGAATAGACCTTACCAGGGAGGCTCAGAAGTGTGATCCCCTATAGTTGGAACACACTCTGCAGTCCTCCTTTTCAAACAGGGGGACCATCACCCCGGTCTGCCAATCCAGGGGAACTGCCCCCGATGTCCAAGCGATATTGTAGAGTTGCATCAACCAACACAACCCCACAACATGCAGAGCCTTAAGGAACTCTGGGCAAATCTCATCCACCCCTGGTGCCATGCCACCGAGGAGCTTTTTAACCACCTTTGTGACCCCAGCACCAGAGATTGGAGAGTCCGACCCAGGGTCCTCAGGCTCTGCTTCCTCATGGAAAGACGTGTCGGTAGGATTGAGGAGGTCTTCAAAGTATTATGCCCACTAACCCACAATGTCCCAAGTTGAGATAAGCAGTGCACCATCCCCACCATAAATAATGTTTGTGGCGAACCGCTTTCCCACCGAGATGCCGGATGGTGGACCAGAATTGCCTCGATTTATTGAACTGGTTAACAGATATTAGCTTCTGTAGCTTATATTGTTATACAGTGTAGCACTCTGCTGAATCATGCTACAATTTAAGACTACAAGCTGAGTTTGTCTCTGATTTATGTCATATTTACAGTGTAAAATAATTTCAGTTTAACCATTTTTAGGTTTCTGCTAGACAAACATGACCTGTTGAAGAGATGGTTAGCTAATATCCGTAGAGACGAGTTATCTAATAGATGCTACTAAATGCAACTGTCAGAAACCCAGGGGTAATATTTGATCAGGAGCTTAAATTTAATAAACAAATTGACTCTGTAATCAAATCTAGCTTTTACCATCTATGTCTACTGACCAAAGTTAAATTTTTCTTAAATAGCTCTGACTTAGAGAAGGCCATTCATGCATTTGTAAGTTCTAGACTTGATTATTGTAATGGACTGTATATTGGTGTCCCTCAGTCTTCCCTAAGACGACTTCAACTTATCCAGAATGCAGCTGCCTGTCTTTTAACCAACACCTCTAGATGTGAGCATGTCACTGCTGTTTCATACACTTTACACTGGCTTCCTGTCCAGTTTTGATTTGGTTCTAAAATTGTATTGTTTGGTTTAAAAGCTCTTAATGGCACTGTCCCACTATATTTATCTGAACTTTTAAGCCTAACTGCACACGGGAGATCCCTGAGGACATCAAATCCACTTTAATTGGATATCCCAAAGTCAAGGCATTYGGGAGACCGGGCCTTTTCAGTGACAGGACCACGATTCTGGATCAAACTCCCTAGACCTTCGCTCCACCTCTGACCTTGGCATCTTTAAGTCCAAGCTCAAGGCTTATTTCTTTAGACAGGCTTTTAATACCATTTAGCATAGTGGCATTTTCTCTGTTTTTATGCATTCTTGTTTTGTGATGTGATTATTTTTACTGTAAAGACTTTGACTGCCTCACACAACTGCCCCTCAAACTATCCATGTTGTTTGGACAAARAACAGACTGCTTCTGGAAGAGGAGTAGCTGAAGCAAAATGCTGCCCTTATTGTTCGAGAGCTTTTCACTATAAACAAACACACCCACAGTCTTCTGACCAATCACAAAACTCTGTGCGTTCACCTGTGAGAGAAAGTTGGTCCCATGTCTTGTGTTGAGAAGGTGCAGGCGAAGCTCCTTTGTGAACAAAATCACACAACTGAGATGGTGTTTGTCAGCTTCAGATGGAGCATGTAGATGTAGCAGGATTGTTCTGAGTTTGTCCCTGTTGTTTCCCCACAGGAAGTTTGCTCCACGCTGCTGTGTGTGCTCTGAGCCCATCATGCCGGCACCGGGTCAGGAGGAGACCGTTCGCATCGTGGCTCTGGACCGTGACTTCCATGTTCTGTGTTACCGCTGTGAGGTAAATGTTTTCCTGCAGGTTCCTCAGAGAATGTACGGGCCGGCTCACGACTCACCTGCCTCTAAACAGAGCTCCCTCTACCCCACACAACATTCACACACTCTCAAAGTGATTGGTCACTGAGCAGCAGAATGAGGAGCTCTATTTAAAAAATAATAATAATAATAATAATAATAATAAAAGAAAAAAAAGGCCTTCAATGTGCTCTGGTGTGACTTCATGGAGGAGATGTTAAGGTCAAAGGAAAGGAAAGCAGATTATCTCAGCTCAGAGAGAAGAACTTAGTGACAAAATAGACACAAGTAAATAGTGTGTGTGTGTGTGTGTGTGTGTGTGTGTGTGTGTGTGTGTGTGTGTGTGTGTGTGTGTGTGT